TTAGAAACATATTTGCATTTACAAAGATACAAAATGTTAAGTAATGAAAGAGGAAGAGATGGTAATTAGAGAGGGTGATTTCTAAGGAAATTTGTAATAGGAATTTCCAACATTCCGAAATGCTTGTTTGATCCAAATTAAAAAATACATATAGTTCAAAAGAAAATAGAGAAATGGGGTCTTCTCTTTACACCTGAAGAAACACTAGCATGTTAAGAATTAAAAACTGTCACATGCATGCGTGCGCACCCCCCCCCCCCACACACACACATTCCATCTTGAGTCAGGCCATGATCCACTGAGCCCACGTGTACTTCTGACTTTCGCTTCCCATACCCCCTGAACTCCTCGAAGTCAGGGACCCTACATAAATGCTTTTAAGTGACTTCATTAAAGATGTGCCCTGTCTGTAAGGGGGTGGGTAACAGCGCCCACCTCGGGGGCCTGTAAGGACAGCGAGTTCATGGGAGTGGAGGGAGCAGCGCAGACTAAGTAGAGCCTAAGGCACGCTGAGTGCTGTGAACTTCAGGCATCTCGGTTTCTTTCAGAGGAAAAATAAAGACCTCCCTATACTCCAGCTTTTCAGCTTTCTTTTTTTTTTACCCCCCCAATAGAGTACTGCCATATGAAATGGAACTATTACGAGTTTGGGCCCTTTCAGGTTCACACTCTACCGGTGGTTATATAAAGTCGGCTGGCATTACTCTGAATCCCATCTTTGATAGCGGCCCGAAGTGCTGGAATTGTCATCATTAGACTACCAGAAAGCACTGGCAAATTACATGTTCAGAGAACAATAAAAAATGGTTACATATCATACCCTCTTGATCATCGCTACTTTGTTTCATATAAACCTCAAAGGTAGTTCCCCAAGATTAGTCTCTATGGGAGGAAGGAAGAGAAATGAAACATTAAAAAAAAAAAAATTAAATACGAAGACTAGAAGCAGCTGTAACTTGCATAAGGCACCAAATTTTTTCTTGTAAGAAAACTATGTTGAATGCATGATGAGCCAGACCCTGGCCTGGGATTGAGCGGCTGCTGGCCCTCTGAGGAGGTCCTCGGTGGGCCACCTCTCCCTTTCCAGGCTGGCCTGGGGGCAGCCTGGGTCTTGGTCGGGGGCAAAGGTGGAAATTTCATACTTCGGGATACTTTCACAGAGGCCCAGCTGCGGCTCCTGAAACTCTGCTCTAATGGGTTGTTTCCTCATTTTTAAAGTGGCATAGAATGTGAGAAATTCTCTACCTGAAATCAGCAGAAACTCAGTGGGAATATAAATCTAGAAAGGTCACAGAGGGGGTCAAAAAGGCTCTTTCTTCTGTGGCCATAGGGGGTTTATTGTTGCTGGTGCCCAAACTGGAGGAGGAATAGCAGGAGATTAATAATTGAAATGTTGCTATTATTGGTTTTCTGAACTATTTGTGGGCTATTCTTTCCCTGGAGTCATCATGCCTGTAAGCAGCCCCCCAAAATAGAGGGATTTAACACATACTAACAAAATGCCTACTACAGCCAGGGACTTTACAGGTACTCATTTCTAATGGAGTCCTCGCACAATCCAATGAGGCTTAAAAACACAACAAAGCTCTGAGAAGTTAAGTAACATGCCCAAAGTCATACAACTAGATTCAAACCCAGGTCTCTGATTTGAGTACCGGACCACACTGTCCGGAATTGAGGGTAAAATTAACGAGCCTTGATTCACTACTCAAAAGCGGTGAGAATGAAAACAATATTTATACTTACTCATTTTAAAAATATAAAACACAAACACAGGAAAAGATATTTTAGAACATGTGTCATCAAATTCTTTTAATGGAAGATGATTCAGAATCCATTTCTTGGTAGGCATTTTGGTAGGTGTCTTCAGACCCATCTGATGAGAGATTTCAGTATTAGACTTTTGGGAAGTCTGACTGTGTAAGCCAATACTAATTGATATGACACATCTCGGGTACGGTGGAACATAATCAACTTGGAATTTAGGGTCCTCTAATTCAGAACCCATGGCAATATAGACCTACGCGGCTGGCCTTTGTACTACATATTGATAAAAAGCCTTGCTAAGCAAGTTGATGGAGTAAACACAATTGCAAGGCAAATGTTTAACTTTCTAAAGAAAATAAACCTTTTTAAATAAGTCTAACTTAATCAGTACCAAGTTACTGAAAACGAATGTGCTATTTATAAACCTAACCTTAAAAGCAAGTAGCAGGAGACTGGTAACACTTTGCTACCCACTAATCTGTATTATCAAACATACCCTGTTTCAAAGACCGCGTTTCTCTCTAAACAGCTCGCAGTTCAGAATGCCCCACTGTTGCATTCAGGCCTTCACCCAGTATCCCAACTTGGGGCAACTGCACCCCATTCAAACGAATGGGTGCACGCCCGAATTCCAGCTGAAATGCCTCACCTGTCATTATCCTGCTCCTGAGAAGAACCCTATGTTCGATTTTTTTAGTAGCTCAAAAATGATTAGAAATCTTCTCGGCGAATTCCCCAGGAAAAGCCCTGCTCCTTCAGGATACACACCAGAAGCCCATGCATTCTGACGGGGATATGGTAAAAATCAGGCTCACTGAATCCAGCATATATCGCCAAGGAGGGAAAAAGGAGGTCACCGGAGTCTTAGAAGCACTCATCACACTAAGTGAATGTAGGTTCCAGCAGTACAATCCTTTATAGAGGTCACCTGTCTGTTTTAGAGCATGACCAACAGTCTCCTTCAAAAAGACCCAGGCCTGAGCTGTGCCCAGCAAGGCTGGACTGGTTGAGGAGGGGAGAGGAGGAAGCCTAGGGAAATAAGGATAAAGAGGCACAGAAACTCCAGCAGAGTCGAAGGGTACAAAGTGGAGGAATAATTAAAAGACAGCACACAGGCAAGACTGAGCGAAACCCGGGGTGGAAAGAGGTGACCAGGTAGGTCATCTGGAACAGGGAATGAAGCCTGCAAATAAAAACAAGTGAGCTCCTGAGACCTTTGAGATCCACGATTATGCTTAAACCTTAACACCTTACTCACCCACAATTCTTTATCTGGTGTAATGCACCGAAAGAACACTGTAGTGGACCGGGAGTACCAAGTCTTGGCCTAGGGGGTATGGCCTACATTCCATGTGGATTTAGAACGATAGGAAAGGGAGAGGACCAGCACAGTTTCTGAGACGGGTTTCCTACAAAGTTGACAAAATACATCCCAAATCCCCCCGTACCCAGCCCCTTGCAAAAGGGAAAGGAGCCCTTTACTACAGTTCTGAATTCAACGCCAAGTTCCCTCCCTAATGCACACCCGGAGTGTCCAGCAGAGGGAGTCTCAAGGAGGTACTTAATAAAGAGAAAATTGTTTCATTTTAACACTCCATAGACAGTGGGAGCATTGAGTGTAGCCCCCTCCCATAGACACAGACGAACAATGACTGCCCGACATGGGTTCTCCTCCCATGTTCACAGAGCCACCGGCTCGTTCTATTCTGCCTGGTGGAGTGATCAGAAATTTCGTTTTGTTTTGTCGAATGGTTAAATGGACCTTGTGTTCTTCAGAATCAAAGAGGAAAGCCCCTGGAATAACATCTCTCTGTTGCCTTCTAAACAGCCCCTTTGTTTCTAAGAGAGTCTGAAAAAAAATATTTACAGTCCATAGGTTATTTACAGCCTCATTATCCAGGGCCTGACTGGTAACTTTATTCCATCCAGAAACCAAATTCATTTGGAGTCCTGGAACTAATAACAGATTTTCTTTTCAGATAAGTTTTTTTTTTTTTAATCTGCCTCTTGTAACAGAGATAAAACTATTAATGCGTTCCCTGTCTCACTCGCCAGCACTGTTCTCGGATTTATAGAAGGATTAAAACCTCCTCTCCCCGCCCCTCCTCTCTGCTCCACACAAACCCTTTCCCCTCTCATTTGCTATTTCACCCACAGAATATCCGAGCAAAAACCGAAAGAAAGCCAGATGGACCAACGTTAAAAGTATGTAAAGGCTGCTATTTCAATGATTTCATAAGAAAAACATTTTCACGATGAAATGACTGAAAAAATCGGGCACCCTTCGGTTTAAAATTCTTTCTACTACAAGCACACAAAAACACACCGAAGTGTAAAAACTTAGTTGATTCTGGTTTGATTTCTGGCTGGAAGCTGACAAGAACTGACTGAAGAGAAACGAAAGAGAGAGAGGGAGGGCAAGGGGAAGTGGAGTGCTTTTGCCCTCCGTTCTTTTCTTTCTTCCTAAAGACAGATCAGAAAAATGACCCCACGCCAGGTGAAGGTGCACCACGCAGGTTTACCCAGACCGACCAAGGAAAACGTCTCGGCCGCCCCCCCACCCCCGACTTGAAAACCTAAACTACATTTTCCCTTACACACGCTAATACGGGGAGATTTTAGCCAATTTCATTGTTCTGCCTGGGTCTGAAATGGACTTTTCCTCTGTACCCCCCTCTCATCACCTAGCCCCATACATTCCGATTCGACAGCCCCCCCAAATCAGAGGCTCGCGGAGAATAAAGGAGTGTGGGGAGGGAGTGGAGAGCAGTGGAAAGGGGAGCCGTGGGGACAGAGTGGAAAGATCACCCTAAAGGTAATTTTCTTGGGGGGTGCGGGGGGAGGAGGAAAGCTAAACCGCATCACCTTTATTTATTCCAAATAAATGAAAAGCACAGTCACGGGTCTGTCTTTTCCCAGGCGCCCCCTCCCAATTTCTTTTCTTCGGGCAGTAGCCCACCCTCGCACCCCCCCACCCCCGCCTCTTTCTCCACCCTGGAAATAAGATCCTGTTAAATTCCGGATCCCGGCCGTTCCGTGGGCAGGGGAGGGGGAGGCGGGGAGGGGTCGGCAGCCGGTTAAAGCCCCGGGGGTGGGGCGCCGGAGGCCGGGCGCCCGGGGGGCTGCGGGCCGGGGGCTGCCCGGCGAGGGGCCGCGGGCAGAACAAAGCTGCGGGGGCCGCGGCGGCCGGGCGGCTCTGGGCGAGCGGGGTCGGCGGGCCGGACGCCCCTTACCTTCGTACACGGGGGCCATCGGGGCCGGGGTGTCCGCGATTCATGGCAACGGCGAAGGGAACGCGGCGCGCGAGCTCGGCCCCCCCAGCCTCAGTCGGAATCTGCCATCTTGAGCCTGTGTCTCCGCTCTCGGCGCAGCCGGGGCCGCCAGCGCCCGCATCACCGCCTCACTTGGCCGGCGCCGGGGGAGGGGGCCGGGCGCCGCCGCCGCCGCCGCCGCCGCGGCCGGGGCCCTGCGCGGGGCTCCGGCGGCCGGGCGGGCGGGCGCAGCGGCCGAGGCCGAGGGGCCGGGCGGCCGCGGCCCCCGAGCGGGTCCGCGGTGGGGCGGGAGCCGGGGCGGGCAGCGCGCGGCCAGTGCCCGGCCGGAGCTCAGCTCAGCATGGCTGTGTGTGGGGGCTTCGGCAAAAGTTGCACGGGAGGCGGAGGAGGGGCGGGCGGAGCCGGGAGGAGGGGCGGGGGCGGGGGCGGGGGGCGGGGGCGGCGGGCCGGGCGCGAGCGAGCGAGCGAGCCGCGGAGCGCGGAGTCCGCGCGCAATCGAGCGCCGATGGCACGGATGCGAGGCGGGGAAGGCCGAGCCGAGGGCAGGAGCGGCGGGCCGGGGCGGGCGCGGGCGCGGGCGGGGCGGGGCGGGGCGGGGCGGGGCGGGGGGCGCCGCGAGGCTCGCGGGCAAGGTGCGCGCGGTGCGGTTCCGACCGGCCGAAGACCGCGGGTCCGCGGAGGTGGCAGCCAGAAGTTTGTGTGCGCGCGCGAGCGGGGCGGGAGGGGCGGGGCGGGCAGGGGGCGCCGCCGGCGGAGAGTCTCGCCCGCCTCGCCCTGAGCTAGGTGTGCAGTGAATGAAGGGAGGAGTGGGCGCTCGCCGGCCTCCGGGGCGAGTGAGTGAGGGGAGGAGCTTTTGCAACCCACTGGAGGTCGGAGGTGCAGAGCCATTCCGCGCACGCCTCAGACAGGCAGCCCCCGGTGGTGGCTGAATCCCTGCGGGAATCTGGTCTGCACGCCGCGCTCACGTCCGCGGAGTTCTGCGGGGCCCCGGCTCTGCCGCCTGGACCCTGGTTCCCAGGCCTCTGCTCTGCTCCTCGCGCTGCGATCCGGGCTTCGGCTAAACATCCTCCAAACTCTCCCCAGCCCAGAGTCTCTCCGGGTTCGCTTCAGCTCCCTCCTGCATTCTTTGATAGGATGCCTTGCCGTCGCCTCCAACCTCAGAAGACTGGAGTCCACGCTTAGGCAGTGTTTTTGAAGCTGTGGGTCGCGACACATGAACTGATCATAAAATTAGTTCAGTGGATGGCGACCCCCTTAAAAAAAAGCAATGGAGTAGACAATTATTAGGATCCGTTCTCCTTAGTGAGGGTAACTATAGTTTCAGAATCCTTTTGTTTCAGTTATATATATTGGACAACTGTGCAGACCATGATGTAAATTTTACTTCCTACTGTGGGTCAAGGGTCAAAAAAAGTTTAAAATCTGTACTTTGGGGGCTGTAAAGTAACGGTCACTTTACAGTGATGCTTTTCTCACTACTTCTTATCCTTCCCAAACTCCATACCCCGTGACGCTCCCCCACCCCCTCCCCATCGCCGAAAAAAGGCAAGCTTTTGCACACACTTACCTAGTTTGGGTGGTAGCGCATAGTTGCCCCTTCCTCTCAGGGTGACCTTTGACTCTGCCATTTTCTTCACCCCTATATCCAGTGCTACAATTCCTACTGCGTCTCTTAGCCTAATGTTATTCACATTTGCAGAATCCTAGACTACCATTGCTAGAAAAGGCCTCAGACACCATCTGGGTCAGGCCTCCCTTTTAGAACTGAAAAAGTGAGGCCCATAGAAGCCAAGCATATCGCCCACCATTGTACACCATTCAATCTTACCATCACGTCTTTTGGCTCCTTTGGTGGTCTTTGCTTCACACCATTCATTCACCCCTTCCTTTCTATCCCGCCTGCTGTCCTTAATTGGTCTCAGGCCAGTTCACCCTAAGAACTGTCACCTCCATAACACACAGTTCTGACTGGGCTGTGCTCCCTGCTCATGTCCTTCAAGGCATCAGCCTCTGCTGAGGTACCTACTTCCTTGGCTCTGAATCAAGGCAGGCAGGCCCCGACTTACCATTGCAAGTGCATGAGTTCAGCAAGTCACTGCCTCTCTAGCGAGACTGGTTTATTCGTGGTCTTCCTCCAGCCTTGCCTATCTATGCCCAGCCGCTACTTTCCCACCAAGGGTGCCCTCTCTATCTTTTCTCTTTAACCAGATTTTCCACCTGTGCCCGACTTGGTTCCTCCACAAAACAGCCAGAGGCAACATGAGATTAAGATAGACCTGGGTTCAGAGCCCAGTTCTTCCACTTCCATAGCTGTGTGAACTTAGTCAAATTGCTTCTCCTCTCTGAGCTTCAGTTTCTGCATCTGCGTTACGATGAGATAGTAATGATAAGTGTTCTTCCCTTGTAGCTCTAAGTGTCTATCATGACCTTTACTGTATGGGTATTCTCTCTCTCTTCCCCTTTCCAGTGCTACCTAATAGAATTTGCTGCAGTGATGGAAATGTAACCATTTGTGGCTGTTGAGCACATGGAATGCGATTAACGTGCCCGAGGAACTGAACTTTCCATTTTCACAGCCACATGTGGCTGGTGGCTACCATGTTGGATGGTGCATCTCTAAAGCGCATGTTCAGCAAGGGCAGAAGCCATGTTGATCTTGCTTGCCATTATATCCCCAGCAAGGAGCACATTGCCTGGCATAGGGTAGGTCCTGTACAAATATCCATGGAGTGATGACAGCCGCCATTTATTATGTGCGTCAAGCACAACACTAAGAACTTGGTATAAGTAAGTTATTTTGTATAGTGCTCCCCACAGCCTCTGAGGTGGGATTGGATTGGAGATAGAACTTGTATAGAGTGCTGGCAGATAGCAGAGGTTCAATAAAAGGTGTCTGTTATTATTATAAAAAACTCCATGTGACCAATGTAACTGATTTTTTTTTTTAGAGAGGAAGGGGCGAGGGGCAGAGGGAGAGAGAACCCCAAGCAGTCTCCAATCGCAGCACAGAACCCAACATGGGGCTCAATCTCACAACCCTGAGGTCATGACCTGAGCTGAAATCAAGAGTCTGATGCTTAACCTACTGTTTGTCATCCAGGTGCCCCAATCGAACTGATTTTTATCTCTTCTTCTAGGCTTCCAGAACAGTTCCTGTCACACATGCTCTGCTGTCACATAGCACACCCCACCCTAGATGGCTGACTCTCCACTTCTGTGGAGGTGACCTGTCCCCACAACTGTGTTGGCAGCATCTTGGGGCAAGGTCCGTGGCATACTTGTCTGGATGTCTCTCAGCTCAGGGCTCGCGCTGATTCGTATTTAGTAATTGCCTCTCACTTTGTCCCAGTTGCTATCAAGCCATGAGTGATTCTAGGCAGTAGTACTCTCTGGAATATCTCCTCTGTCCTCCCCAAATTCGTATGTTGAAGTCCTAACCCCCGGTTCTTCAAAATGTGACTGTATTTAGAGATAGGGTCTTGAAAGAGGTAATGCAGTTAAAATGAGGTCATCTAATGGGCCTTAATCCAATATGACTGGTGTCCTCATGGGAAGAGGAGATTAAGACACAGACATGCAGAAGGAAGACCATGTGAGACACGGGGAGAAGGCAACCATGGACAAGCCAAGGGCAGAGTCCTTAGAAGAAACCAAACCTACTGACACTTTGATCTCAAACATCTATCCTCCAGAACTGCAAGAAAATAAATGTTGGTTGTTAAAGCCACATGGTCTGTGGTACTTTGGTATGACAGCTGTAGGAAACTAAGATACCCCCCAAGAAGGAGAATTAAAATGAAGAAAGATCAACTTGTGTCACCTGAAAACATCTTAAGGGTGGTCTCCTTCCTATACACCCACTTTGGGCACAGAAAGCAAGTCCTGTGAAAGGAGAACAAGACGGAGCCATACAGGTAAGATGGCCGCCTTCTCTTCAGACCACTAGGACTAAATTCTACCTGTGTGATGCTCAACTGCAGCAAAAAAACATTCAGTTGAGCTAGCATATATGGCATCATGTAGGTGGGGAAATGTTATTTAAATGAATTTAGATTTTTTTCTCATGAATTGGCAGATTGATATGCCTATTTGTTTCCCTTCCCTTCTATGACTATAGAATTTGTGGTCTTCCTCCAGCCTTGCCTATCTGTGCCCAGCCGCTACTTTCCCACCAAGGGTGCCCTCTCTATCTTTTCTCTTTAACCAGATTTTCCACCTGTGCCCGACTTGGTTCCTCCACAAAACAGCCAGAGGCAACATGAGATTAAGATAGACCTGGGTTCAGAGCCCAGTTCCTCCACTTCCATAGCTGTGTGAACTTAGTCAAATTGCTTCACCTCTCTGAGCTTCAGTTTCTGCATCTGCATTACGATGAGATAGTATCGTGGGAGCAGGGATATAAACCTAACAATGAACTGCCCCTGAAGGAGAGCGCGAGAGCAGGAGGGGGACAGAATCTGAGACACAGCCCCAAGGAGCACTAGTATTTGAAGTAAGGGAAGAGGGAAAAGAACTCCCTGTGGAGGAGGAGAGGGAAGGAGGACAATATCCCAGGGCAAAGACCACCGCATAGGGAGGTGTGGTCGGCAGCGCTCCGTGCTATTGAGAGATCAATGAGACATGCGGGGAGGCATCCACTGGATTTACCCACAAGGTTACATCTGTGGCTCTGGTGAGGCTACTTATGGGGGAAATGTAGGGTTCTTAAATTCAGCCTGAAAAGAATGTACAGTGTTTTGATAGGTGGAGAATAGAGGGTGAGGAGGGTTATCAAGGCTCCAGAAGAGGGCACTAGAGAGTATTCCAGGAAGAGAGGTGCAACCAAAGTCACAGGGTGAGACAGTGAGCTGGCTCCAGGACCTAGCGCATCTGGCTAGGTTAGTATGCACCGTATTACATTTATTTAATAAACACATTAGCACTTAGTGTTCTAAGAAGTTTACAGATATTCACCCATTTAATAAATCCTTTTTTCTCTTTGCACTACATGGAACTCTACATTGCCATAAGACCATGTAACTTTAGTGTCTTTTGAGAAATATTAACAAACGCAAGAGAACTGGAGAGGATTTAGTAGCCATCTATGTCAGTTACCTCTTCTCCATGTCTTTCTACAAATGGTATGAATCATATCTTTCTCAGGGCTGACCAAACATGGGGGGAGTTTTGACCTGGTTTCAAGATCATTTTGCTTATAGGGCA